CAGTTGATTTTCGTTTTTAATGAGCGTGGCTCTTTGTCACATTTGTTGCAAATTATTTATCAGGTGAAATTGTGGCACAATGGGTAAAAATATTGCATAATTCATTGTTAAGTGCTATGTGTGTTGTGAATTTGAACTGGGTTTCTGGTGAGACCGAATTATAGAGTAATCGATTTATATGTTGTTGGTGTAACAGCCAGTCTATAATAGTGCATCTCATGCAACAATTTTGTCACACTTGAAGTATTTTTACGCTTATGGTACACTTTGTGAAGTCATCCATGTGTGAATTTTATTACGTCGTTCGTCAGTCTGTCTAGTTTGATATGCACCTTATAAATATTATTTAGATGCAATGAGACTCACTTTGCCTCTAATATTAATTTAATATAATAGTGCTGTGCACAGGGAATGATAGTCATTTCATGTGTAGGTTTGTTCACTTTGCTATGCTTTCATGTGCAATAATAATTTCTGTAAAAGCGGTAGATAAATTGATTATATCGCAACATACTCATATAGTGTTTCTATGATATGAAATTTATATTTGCCCTGGAACTTCCATTAACAATAGCTGAGAGACTGGTTGTGTGATAGAGGGAGAATGCCAAGAAGACGTGTCTGTATGAGAAAAGGGGTGTACGATGAAAAATTAAGGCAGTCAATGGGATTTTAATAATGGAAAAACTTTTAGGTTCTTGCGAGAGGGGGGCTGAAGGGAAGTTAAACAATGGTGAATTTTCATGAACAATACATGGTGGTGACTCTTACACTGCAGGTCAATCCTATAAATTCAATGTTGGCTGCTGAGGGCTTTCAATATTATACCTCTCCAGGAATGTAAAATGCGAATAGAGAGCGGTGGTGATAGAATTTAATTGACATTTTTTCATTCCAATGCAATTATTTTATTCCCTCCCGATTGAATATGTGTTGTGGACGTGAAAGCATCTCTCTCAATTGGTATTAGACTTTTCATCAATTTTCAGCTATGTGTGGAACTTAATTGCATGACTCGCTGGGAAAGATGAGAAAATAGTCATCATTGCTCAACGTATTGGTAGTTTATTGTTGTTCAAGAGCAATACGGAATTTAATATAGATAAATATACGTATATATGTATCACTACTTTGCAATATATGAACAGTTTCAGTCTCCAATCTTTAGGGGATTGTTTTTAGAACAAGATTTATTACTTACATAGCCTGAGAAGTTGTAAATCTTGTCTGAGTGTTTCTGTTTTGGTAAATATTGGAGACAATCAGGGTGTGAAATTCATTTTTGGACACTATTTTCTGCCTACTGCTCTTTAGGTTTTAAAAATCCTATAAAGAACTATACACATATTAACTTATCAATTTGCATCAGAGATTAATGGTCAATTTGTTGTTTGATACAGTTAAATGGGTTCAATTAGAGCAATTGTTGACTCTTTATTTGCGAATGACCTTAGCAAAGGGTGATGTTTCTTATGCTAGTGCTTTCCTTCCGCACTTTTTGAGAAACGTGACAAATTTACTGACTATGAATTTTCACATTAATTACAATTTCTCCTTCTTTTCTTCACTCAGTGAATGGATTACTCTTTAAAACTCTGTGGCTTTTTATATATCTTTTGGGGTGTTTTTTGTCTAAAGTGAAAAGTTCTCTAAATGCAAATTAAATTGGTGTAGTGAAGAAGAGATCTGTTTATATACTTGAGCATGAAAATGGTTTGGGTGTACGCGCGACTAAGACTTTATTCATTTTGCTATGTAGTCTCTTGCGCAAGGATAGAATTATGCAAATCGCTTGTGGGGATCAGCAAGCAGTCATTCGGCCAGAAACGCATAGCGGCGAAGTAGTGGAGTTCCATGCCAATGCTGTACATAGAGCCACAATATCTCCGATGAAAATTCTACAATTTTTTCCTCTGCTTCGAATCTTTAACCAATTCATGAACGAGAGAGGAAGAGAATTTGTATTCAGACATTGGGGGTCGATTATTTTATATGTATCTTAGGTCTCTTTCTCTCTCCCCCTCTCTCCCTCTCTCCCTCTCTCCCTCTCTCTGTTTTTTCCCCTATAACCTTCATCGTAAAGGAAGGTGTATTAGTGAGAAAATAACAGAAGGAAAAGAACGTGGAAGGTACATGTAACTGGGATGAATGGGTTTTTCATGCGGATTTTCTCTTCATCTTCAAATTTTCAATCCGATTTTCTAAATGTTTTTCCACATTGTGTCATAGGATGGAGTGAGAGAAAAGGAAAAGCAATGGAAGAGAATGAAAGTAAACAAGATGAACTCATGATAGACTTGTATGCTTATTTTTTTTCCTTGTTTTACCTCTCTGACTAAATCCATTTCTTTCACCGTTTACTTTTTTACTTTTTCTTATAATCTAATGAAGAACATTGAATGGTTTCGGAAGGTGTAAAAATGGCTCTGGAATCCAAATTCACAACCAAAAAGGACGTGATTCTATAATATGATCTCACATTCACTATGCTTGTCGCGTGGAGAACCAGTGCACTTTGACTAGACGTATCTAGTAGGGAAATTCACAACAAAATTAATAAGACGAAAGGCTCTATCACTTGAGATTTTCCATATTTCTCTCCTCTATACCCTCATTTTCCGTCTTCCTTTTTCCATTATGGTAATTGCTTAGAATTTAATTATACTTTCATGACGGAATGGTTATGTATGTGACACTATTAGCTTCTCTGAAATTAGTTTTAAATTCAATAAAAGCGAATGCTGTTCTTTCTCACTCTTCATCTTTTGGCCGACACAGACAGAAGCGTCTACAGGGAGAACGGAGCATAGATGACAAAGCTATATGTATGCATTTTATGTGTAATTTATACATGTACAATGTTGATGGTCTTTCGCCATTGAGTGGCCTGGCCGCACATATGACTATAATTGTATTATATGGCTTTCATGATGACCAACATACTTTCAATGTTGCGTTGCTGTCTCGTCTCTCTTGTGCACTCCATTTCCTTTATACATACATACATATATACATATGTACATTTTGCCGATGCCGAATAAAATTCGAATAAAGTCATTAAGGCGAAGTGCTAAAGGCAAACACACAGAATAAATCAAACAAGTTGTAATATTATTAGGAGTTTATATGGAATTAATTTCTCGCAGATTTTCTGGACCATTTGACACGAAGATTGATACTCTATAGCTCTTCGTCTTTATCTCTGAGTGCCTTTCAAGACGAACACTGAGAAATTTTCCCCTTTACGGAAAGTCAAACAATCTTATGCTGGTGAAGGAGATATGTCTTATTCCATCCACTTTTGGAACTCATTCATGTAAGACTGGAAGTCGAGTAGAGATTCTCTATATGGTTGTGTATATCCTATTAAATAATTTAAAGTTTTCACTTGAGTGGTTCAAAGTGAATTTTGCGGGATGCACGCCTCCAGTGTTGAGATAATTCGTGAATGGCGTTTTCAATTGCAGAATAAAAGACGGCTTATACACCTGTATACAATTTTCACAGTGAACACTTGCAGTTGAATCATGTGAATGAACCTATAAGCACAGTATAATTAACCGCGCAGCAACTGTATCTCCTTATAAAATACTTTTCCTCTATGTGAAGAGCATGAGAAATTGACTGAAATGCATGTAAAACACATTTGGAAGGCATATTCCTGACATGTTTGACTCGACGTTTTGTTGCTGTGAAAAACAATTAATAAAATCATGTTTGAACAAAGTACAAGAAGCATATCTTCATCTATGTGATTGAATCTTCCAGAATTATAATGCATGCGGAGGAAGAGAGAATGTAAGATCAAGGTACTCAAAGTATGCACACACAATAATAGAATCTGACTTACTGAAAGTTTAGAGAGATTCAGAACAATTTTGCGTGTCTCGTAAAATTTCCTTGGACCTCGAGATGAGAGTTTCTAACTTTTCCAAAGATTACATGGATAATCTGGGCATTTCTATACAAAACACATCCATACGTGAGTCGATGCAAAGTAAAGCGAATGAAATTATAGGATTCAACATTCCGTGAAATATTCATTCACATCAGTCACGTATTTATATGTATTTTGGGGTATAGGATGATTGTGTCTGCGTATGTATTTCGCATTTTATTTACGAAAATGTCTTTTATATATATGTATATAAAAGAGGAATAGAATGAAAATGCCTTGGCACGCTTCTTATACACAATATAATAAAAATAAAAAATTCCTTGCAAGATGAAGTCGAATTGGAATATTACTATGTGAGAGGAAGAGAGACAGAGTGAGATTGAGGCGACAGATATGATGAATAAGTGAGGCATGATCGTTTATAAAAATTATTATATTTTGACAAAATATAAATAAGTGAGGAGCAAAAGACGAAATTCTTTCCTGTTCATTTTGTCTGTGTATTGAAGTGAACAATTGCTCAATTTAGTATCTACATTCCAGATAGTATATTATATTCACACAAGATAATGAAGAGCTCAAGTTGAAAGAAAACGACAAAATTATTCACAAATGGTTGTTAAATGCTGTAATAAGGAGCTGTGGAGGCGAGGGAAGAACTTTAATTGGATGATTTGTGGTGGAAGAGTGACTGTTCTCTAATGTTCATCGTGCATAATATGTACAAGATATGATATGAAGCATGAACGTGATCGACAGTTTGGTGCAGAGAGAAGAGAGTGAGTGAGTATCCTTCGAGAGTCTGGCACTGTGGGAAGAACGATTGTGCATCAGACAATACTCCACAGTCCTAATAGTGTATCTCTGTCTCTGGCCTTTCTCAATCTTTCCTCCATTGCTTAACGAAGGGAATTTCTCTCTCGCGCGGATTTTTATGGCTTTTGCATAATAATCCCGTTACCTGTGTCGATAAGACATAGTATTGTATAATTGAGGTGGACATAAAATGGAAAGAGAGAGAGAAATTTTCACAATTAGCATACAATTACTCGACTGTGTCGTGTTAAGAGATTAATCACGCTTCCATTTGTTGTTGTTGCAGCAACTCTTCCGCAGTCAGAATCCTGGCCTTGCCACAAGTGCAACGGCGCCTGGGGCGCCAAGTGGCGCCCCGTTGCCGCAACATCTGCCACAATTTCTGGCACAGCAGAATGCCTATGCAGCCCAACAGGCCACCCCATATGTGATCAATCCCGGACAGGAGGCTGCCCCCTACATGGGGCTCATTGCGGCCGGAATGCATCAGTACTATGGTGTGGCCACGGCACCTTGGGGCGTGTATCCGGCGAATCTCATCCCCCAGCAAGGATCACAGCCGCGGAGGCCGCTCACGCCGTCACAGCAGGGCGCCGAAAATCAACCGTACCAGGTGAGGAACCACGTTAAATGGCTCCCACACTCGCCATTTCACTTAATTAAGTGTACAAAACACAAAACAGTGCAAGAGCCTTCGAAAGTTGAAACTAAATAAGGCGTGAATATAATGTACATTCTGTTCATATAGGAATTCCATTGAGTGAGATTAGTTCAGAGTTTAAGTGACAAGGAACGTCATGCTAATTGATTTTGCAGTGTTCAATGAAGAAAATGGGGTGGAGATGAAAAAGTAAATTAGATTTTGTGTAGTGCTTTATTTTTCTTATTAACACAAATACCATTCATTTGAGCTACGTGTGGAGAAATCTCTGTCTCCCCATTGCTCTTTTCAGATTGAGAGAAACTTTTACCTTCATAATTAGCTGTATTGTGTCGAATTGTTGCCGATGTGATTTTCACAGACACATCGAAGCGTGGAAGTTTACAATGAGATTGTCTATTTTTGAAATTTTTTAAAAATTACAAAGCTGTGATTTAATTTTGGAACACAATGTATGTATCATCTTCATCAGTAGAGATGATTATTATTGGAGGTGAATGCTAAATGCATTTGTACAAAATAATTTATTGTTTTTATTGCATCTTTCTGTAAATATACATTACAATATTGAATTGGAATGCAAGGGAAAGTTATCTGGTTATGGTTTTGGTATTGCGCCGGATGATTTTCCCTTGACAAAACTATAATAATGTACAAGTGAAGAAGATATTTGAAAGAAGGAAATAGACTTGTCAATAACTTGCAAATCAGTCGAATTATATATATTCTAGCTAATAATGTACAGACATACTTATACACAGTGATATTTGTATATATAATAGGTAATTTCGGCATTTTACGATCAGAGTGGCTCGTTGATGATGGGCCCGCGTACTGGTACGCCCATGCGACTGGTGAGTCCAGCTCCTGTTCTTGTGCCTTCTGGAGCCCGAGCTCCTCAGGCGCCCCCAATCTACCCGCCTCAGCCTCAAACAGCACAGCAGAATTTATACTCGGCCCAGAATGGTTCAAGTGTTGGAGGTAGGTTGTCATTTTAACTGTAGAGTTATGCAATGTACAGGCAAAGAATATGCAATACACATGTTTTAAATCTGCCTACTCTTATCAGCTTCTCTGCAATTTGTTCTACATTGTACACAATATGGTCTCTAGAGTACACAATATCAGTTATTATTTCCAATTTGGGAATCATAAACTAACGCTTTTCTGTCTCCATGTGTGTAACACATATCAAAATTGTGAAAATTACACTAAAAATTACTCCAAACTATTTTACATAAGCGTATTGTGTTAAATGTTCACTGAAATTTCATAATCTTTTTCAAAAATCTATGTTTCCATCTTGTTTTATTGCTTTACAACATGCATATGGAGTTGTTTGAATGTTTCTCTTCTAAACGCATATAATCTCTCCCTGTTTTTTTTCACCTATATTTATGTGTGTGGCATAAAATAGTCTTTGTGATTGTAAAATTATCTTACTAACTCTAGGTGGCGGGTTGTTCGCACCCCAAGCGTTCAGCGGCGGTCTTGGTACCTTGGGGAGTCCTGCACAACCCACAGGTAGTTGTAAAATTTTCGGTGTAATTTTAACAAATACTCCTTTTAGAAAATCTCTTATTCACTTTCTTCGTGTAGTGTGTTTAATTCTTGTATATTTTTGCTCTGAGACACTGTAATTGACTGAGCAAATTTAAGTTTCTTCTACAACGCAAAGACGAAAACAAGTTGGGATGATGTGTGAGAGAGGTTGAATGAACACAATTTATTTAACGTGTTCTGTTTACTTTATTATTTACACCAAAAATCTATGAAAAGGGATAGTGTTCTTTGGCAGTTTGAGAGAAGGAAAGTGATCTTTTGTATGTTTTTCATGTTCACTTTCAGTATATTTTCAAGTCCTCAGACTTGTTCTCAGAAAAGTTTAATGACATTCAGTCTTTGCTGTGATGAGCATGAGAATTTATTGTGGGGTATTTTTCATCTTCAAATAACCATAAGTTGAAGAAGAAAATATTACTTTATTGTATGGCGCTATTTTTGAGAACGGACACAAGTTCGATACATGTTTAAACATTGTCAATATTCATCCCTTTCTTATGCGATGACCTCCTCCGTCATCGTGTGGGTTTTCTGGATCATGCATTTCTTTCAGTATATGCTCGTTTTTATGACTTTCCCGACTATTGTTTTATTGCGTCTCTTTTCTTCTCTCCTATTCTGCCTTGAGCGAGGAGTTTTTGGGACTCTTGTGTGTGTGCTCTCTCTCTCTCTCGTGCTTCCTATCGGTGTGTGTGCGCGATCGGAGTCTCTTAGTTGCAAAATTATCGGCTGAAGGGAATGAGGTTTTTCGTCACGAAAATTACTGGAGACAAACTAAAATGGATTCTGAATTTTTGTGTCATTTGTGGTATGCCGAAACGATGAACTTTGGTGGGTTTTTCTTTTTGTAGTGATCTCTCGCGATTGTTTATTTGTGTCATGTGTTTGTGTTGGGCATGTAATTGGTTGCGATCGCTAATGAGAGTTGTTTTCCGTCTGCTTGACAGGTCTGAACACATCTTTGACTGCGCGAAGGGACTCTTTTGATCGAAATACATCTGCATTCAGTCCCTCATCGCTGGATTACTCCACATCGACTGTGGCGCGAAATGCTGCGGCTGCCAAGTGGCCTGTGGGCAATTACGGGGCTCTGGGCACAGTCACCGCCGCGTCGGCTAGCCCCCATGGCGCCCCCATCACCCCACCGCCGTCGGGCATCGGAGGATTAGTGACGAATCGCGCTCCAGGAGCTGAAACCAAGTACCGGAATGTGAATCAACTGGCACCACTGTCGACTGCGAACAATATTTTCGGCTCCAACAACTCGATATTCTCAAAGTTGTCGGGTGCCGTAGTTCGGACGCCAGCTGCGCCACTGGATCGCCAGCCTGGACGGTCGCGCCTGCTAGAGGACTTTAGGAACCAGCGATTCCCAAATCTGCAGCTGCGAGACTTGGCAAATCATATTGTGGAATTCTCACAGGATCAGCATGGCTCACGTTTTATTCAGCAGAAGCTCGAACGCGCCACGGCCACTGAGAAGCAACTCGTGTTCCAGGAGATTCTCGGATCTGCCTACAGCCTGATGACTGACGTGTTTGGGAATTATGTGATCCAAAAGTTCTTCGAATATGGCACACCGGAACAGAAGTCCACGTTGGCGCAGCAAGTGAAGGGTCACGTGTTGCCGTTGGCGCTCCAGATGTACGGCTGTCGTGTCATTCAGAAGGCACTCGAGAGTATCCCGCCTGAGCAGCAGCAGGAGATTGTTCGTGAACTGGATGGACACGTGCTTAAGTGCGTCAAGGATCAGAATGGCAATCACGTGGTGCAGAAATGCATTGAATGCGTGGAGCCGGGCGCCCTTCAGTTCATCATCAACGCATTCCAGGGACAGGTGTATGCCTTAAGCACTCATCCTTACGGGTGTCGTGTGATTCAGCGTATATTGGAGCACTGCACGGCCGATCAGACGGCTCCAATTTTGTCCGAATTGCACACGCACACGAATCAATTGATTGAGGATCAGTATGGAAACTACGTCATTCAACACGTTCTGGGTGAGTTTTTGCCACTGAAAATTGATTTTGAACTTCCAACTCTTGGGCATTCATCAAAGTATTATTTATGTAAGAGAAGAGGTCATACACTTTTTTGTCAACTATTAATTTTGAATGTCCAAATCTTGAATTATTCTACAGCTTTGTCTCTTTTATGAGACTTCAACTGGCGATGGTGGAGAGGCATAAATTTGACGAGAGAGTCATTATATTGTGCGCGTCTTTAATATTCATTAATTTTGAGTATTTTCATAAAATATTTCACTGTATTTGCATATTGTTGACTCTTCAGCGGTGACAATGTCATATACTCAGCATAAGTGATTGGCATAATTTCACCTTGATATTTGAAGTACTTCTGAATGTTATTAGTATTCGAGGAATTTATGTTCAAAAGCCTTTGCAAATCTGTAAAATTTGAGAAAAAGTATTCAATTAATTACAACGGTAAAAAAGATATTCTTAATATCCTGTTCGTTGTACAATCTCTTGAGAACAACTTGTAACTTAACCGTTGTTGTAATCTGTGAAGTGTGTGATATTTTAATTTCGATACTTCACCAGACTGTCATGTTGAATATAAGATGTGAAATAGAGGCAATTTTAGCGTCATAATATAATTTATCTCTTTGTAATGTAATACGTCGGTAGAGATTTCTGTTTCACGGTGTATTTATTGAATTTAGCGTAATGTTGATGTTCCTGTTGTGTGTCTCTTGCAGAGCATGGGAAGCCAGAGGACAAGTCCGTTCTCATAGGGAGTGTGCGGGGAAAAGTTCTGGTTCTGTCGCAGCACAAGTTTGCATCAAATGTCGTGGAGAAGTGTGTAACACATGCCACGAGAGCTGAGAGAGCTCTGCTAATTGAAGAGGTTTGCTCCTTCAATGATGGGTGAGTAGCGCTGTATATTGTCAAATATGTTGGGCGGCATGGTCCAGAGATTGCGAAGGAATTCTTGGGGATGATGTGGGTGATGCTCCATGGACACAGGGTGTTGATGTACCGCACCGTGGACTATATACATATGTATTGGCGAAAACAAACACTTTCTGGGGTGTGTGCAATGAGTGTGTGTGTGTGCGCACTCATCAATTGGCACACAGCCCCAAGAGATGCAAACAAACAGGTTCCAACTGTCGATTGACTGTTGCGGGAAATTCTCCTTTGATTTAATGTTTGTAATTAAGCATCCGGCACAAGTTTACGGTCGCATTATGCAAATGAGAAAACACAGACTATATAGTTATTATGAGTCAGCAGCAACTTGTTTTATCAGTCTCTGAACCTTACTATTTTCTACTCGCCCGACATGGCGATAAATTGGTCATTTGGTCAATTGAATGAACGGTTTAACGGAGGAAATGGTTGAGTAATGTGGTTTGCGGGTTCTTGTCTCTCCGTGTGATCTTGTTTTTAGTTTTTGCTCTCGCCCCTTTGGTGAATTTGTTACGGCCACAACGTTCATTCATGCATTGTTGCTCAATTTTGAGACAGAAAACGGTATTTTGGGGACACACTTTTGAGAAGATGAATATTTGAGCGCGAAATTAGTATTATGAACTATTCTTAATGCTTGTTCGTATATTATTTCAGTGCACTTCACATTATGATGAAGGACCAGTACGCAAACTACGTGGTCCAGAAGATGATTGATGTGTCCGAGCCGACACAGAGGAAGACCCTTATGCACAAGATCAAGCCGCATATGGGATCCCTCAGGAAGTATACCTACGGGAAGCATATTATATCGAAGCTGGAGAAGTTCTTCTTGAAAACATCAAATGCCGTTGGGAGCTCACTGACGGGCAACTTGGAGGGACTGGGCCCTATTGGACCGCCCAGCAATGGTGTCCTGTAAGGAGGAGAACAGAAGGAGCAACTGAATATTTTCGTAATAATTCTTTAGCGTATGATTTTTTACGTGTCTTTTAAGTTTTTTATAAAAACATCTATACATGAGGACATATTTAAGGAGATATAATATTGAATGAAATCCAGAGATGCAAAAAAAAGCAAAACAAGGGATAAATTTTGTTTATCCATCACTTCTCATATTTTTTTGTGTTTAATTTACATAACATAGAATGTATTTTAGAGAATTTACATTTTCTTCTCGTCTTATGTTTCGAAGACTTTTTTTCTGTTCAAATGCAGTAATTTCTACTTTTTTCCTACTAGCCTAGGTATTATGTATATTTTTATACTTTTTTCCGTTGTAGTCTTAAAGTCGAATACTTTCCTGCATATTAGTAACGATGAAAGTGAACAGAAATCTCTGTGTTGATAAAAAGAACACTTTCTTTAATCCGATGATGACAATTATGATGAGAAAAATATGTTTTTTTTTTCTTTTCTTTTCGCTTGATAATATGATAAAATGGAAACGATGGATATTGAATGAAGAAGAAAAAGGAAGAAAAAAAAACATTTACAATGCTATACATAAACATACATATTGAATGTAAATCATATATTGCGAATATCTGTATCTATTTAATGTATTATAGTACAGTTCTTTGTAATTTTTCACATGAAGACTTTATTCCATATTTATATATTTTTCTTTATTTTTTTCCCTCAGAAAGTATATAATTCACAGAAGAATGAATTCAAAATATTCTGAAAAGAAATCTAAGTATTTTTGTAATTGTGTAAATTTGTGTAATTTTGAATGGAAAAAAGTGTGGTAATATGAGAAGCAGAAAAACGATTAGATCCTCTATTTTTATTGGCTTAATTAGTAGTGATGACAAAGAGGAGTTAATTGATTGGAGTATTGAAGAGGATATGGACGTAATGTAGTTAGAAAGTGGAGTCTCCGCAGAGGAGAGCACATTTTGGGAGTAGATGAAGTGAGAAGTATTTGAATAGACCCTCAGGAGGAGAGTCTTTTTGAAACGATGAGGGTGATTTCACTGTTGGAAAATACGACTTTTTAATGCTGTCGCTTCATGATGAATTTTCCCTTGAGCGACAGTATTGCTTTTCCTGAAAGAGATGTAGAGAGAGAGAGAGAAAAAACATCCACAGTGGCATTTTGATCTCGAGATGCAGTGGAACTCCTTCAGCAGAGGCAGATCTGATGGGGAGAAGCCACACACTCGGAGATGTATTGCTTAGGAATTATCATTAAGATGAATATTCATGTAGTAGAATTTTTGTGTATATGGAGCCAGTCAATGTGAGTTTTTACTTGAAAGAAGGACAACATATTATTTTGTGCAAATGAAATAAAAAATAAAGAAATGGAAATAAATCTCGAGATTGAAGAAGAACCCGACTTGTGAATTGATTGAAAAAAAAGGTAAAAAGAAGAAGGAATAAAATTGCCAAAGTTCCAAGGACAGCACAAAAAAAATGTTTGTATCAAAATGACGTAAATTATTTTAAATATAAAATAAATAATTAAAATAATGATGATGAGGAGGAAATGTGTGGCCCATAAAATCAAACCAACAAGAGAAAAAAAAACGAGATAAAGAAGAAAACACGTTTGAAAAATTAAGAAACAAAAAAATCAAATCTACTATGGAAGCTGGCATAGGGATCACAAAAACGCTCTCTTATAAATAAAGAATAATGAAAAAAAAATTAAAAAAACAAACGAAACACTTAAATAATTAATAAATTAACTGATAAAAGATGATTTATTGCTTAATGAAATTGTAGTGACACTGTTTAACTTGGATATGTATAATTAATGTTCTATACTTTTTAAAATAATCTCTCTCAATGCAATTTCTATGTATCGATATAGACGCTTCTTTCTGTCAAACCATAGGCCATTCATTGAGTTTATCTCTTCTCGTTTTACCTTCCAATAAAGTGTGTCACATCGTGGCATTTTCGCTGATAACACTAAGAAATAGAGAATCAAAAAAAATGAAGACCAACTTCAAAGTATACTGAATTGTTCTCCTATCCTTTCCAATCTACTTGCAATCTGAGAAGGAGAGGAAGGAAATATGCTGCCCATTATTGTTGAGCTAAAACTTTCACATCACAACAGCGACACAAACTTTTGAAACCGTCAGAAATGCATGAAATTTTTAATGCAGTGCAAATTAATGAAATTTCTTGAAATCCATTGCATTAGTAGACTTTGATTTGAAGTTTTTGAATACAAGAATAAAACGAGAAATGACATGCCATTGAGCGACAGCGGAGAATATTTGAGGATATTGGAGAATACAAAGATAAAAAAAACACGATAATAACCATGATAGATCACTTTCTAAAGAGAAAATGGAGCAACTTGAAAAATTTTTACGGGCCTTTTTTAGAATTTGTGACAAGAAAATGCGAAAGAAAATGCAACAGAACAACAACTGATACATTCGTACTTTGCCATAAAGTAGTGTCTACATAGTGGTTGAATAAGAGAGGAGGATAAAAGGAAAATTTACCACAGCAATCTGATTGCCGTATTAACTCTTTGAAACAGAATTACATTTTTGCCTGCATCCAAGATATAATGTATAACGTAGTGTCTCCCACTTTCAAAATGAAATATCATCCACGTTTTCTAATAACATACAAGTCTTTCGAATATCAGTAACTTATGCTATTTACAGAATAATGTGAAGGAAGGAGAAGAAACTTTAATGTAGAGTGTGTTTTATACATAATAATACATAAATTATTCTAGTTAGTTGATAAAATGGAGAAGGATTGACACGAATTATGTTCACCGTTCCTTTTCGCTCTTAAGTTAAGATCCAACTGCATTTCAATTCAATCTGTAATGTTTCTCGTAAGTTTCACTTTAGGCAGATAATTTCACTACTTTTACTGTATATTTCAGTAGAATTTTAGTTACTTTCATCAATTCAATGGAAAACTAAATATAATTCTAGATCATTTTTTGATAGAATAGATTTTTATTTTTATTTATAATCTTACTTTTCATCTAAACAATCTTATTAGTTTAGTTTAGTTTATGATCATTTAGTTTTTAATACATTTTCAACCTCATAGTGAGTTTCTGCGTTCTTTTATTATCGAGAAAAAATAGTAGATAAAGAGAAGTGTAACACATAAAATGACAAAAAGTAATTGTGTATGCAATTAATTAATAAAAAAAAAAAAGAGAAAATAGATGCATAAATTGCATGATAAAAGTAATAAAAAGAAGATTTTTTAGTGTAGTCTAGTAGTATTTAAAGGAAAATATATTCTTTAATTAACAGAATCATTATAATATACATGCATAAATGTGTATAAAATTTTTGACAGAGATACTGAGAAAAGTATTCAAATTTGGCTGAAGGATTTCAGTTGAAGGGACGTTTTCTATCCAAAAAGAAGAAGAAGATGAAATGAAATATAAAAAAAGAAAGTCTAATGAAAAAGTATAATTTAAGAATTAAAAATGAAGTAAAAAAAATGAGAAAAGCCCCCCACTGGAGGGGGGATAAATTTGCTAAATGAAGACTGATAATGATGCTTGGAAGTTTCGAAGTGGTTTTAAAATCTCGGATTAATTGGAATTCTCATTTTGTGTAATAATGATGAAGAAACAATGGAAATCTTTATATAAAAGAGAGGAGATCCCTTTAACTGAAGATAGTGTCACGAATTCATTTGTAAGAAATTTAATTATGAAAATATTAGGTGAAAAAAGTGTATGTAACTAAATTAAATATTGATAAATGTATTTGTTAGTGAATTATAAATATGAAGGAAGAAAAAAATATTACAGACTATGTATATCGCTGTACAAAGGTCCTGTCGTTATTATCCATTCAAAATGAAAAGATGATTCTTAGTCGTTTCGAAGACTGCATTAACGCAAATGTTTATTTCTTAACTCTTACTTTAACGCAACGCTGCAACTTGTATCACGATCGGATTGTCTCGATGAGATTGTCGTTTGAAGGGAAAATAGAAGAAAAAAAAAACTGTCGAAGATGTTCTATGAAATAGCGTCACAAACCCCGCCACAAAATAATGATAAAGACAAACCCAAAGTGAAATTAATCAATTGAGGATGAACCGAAATCATAATATGAAATCCATCAGTGCATTTTGTACATTATATAAATATATTGTAATTTATATGTATAATATATTGTCAAATGAGAAAAAAGTCATTTTCACGCGCATTTCTTTTCATATTGGGATGAATTTTTGAAAGACACGCAGCACATCTGAATGGCGATTTAAAACCCTTTTTCTGATCTCTAAACCAAAAGTGACAAAAATAACTGCATGTGGTCGAAATCGCTATTCAGAGCATAGCTTCAATAGCTACCCATATTTTCCAAATAACCAATAAGGCTTACGAAAAAAAAAATTGACAATGGAAGTTAATCTGATGAAAAGAAAATAGGAAAAAGCCTCTCCCGAGAAGAAATAGTCATCTTGTAAATAAAATCATTGCCCATTTGATCCATTGAACACATAATTTAACGTAAAAAAATGCAACCAACAAACTCAATTAAACCCATAAGCGAAGATGAAAATATTTTGTAAAATATGTGATTTTCTAATACTTTCTACAGTTAGTTTTAATTACTATAAATAAAAGGGATAATAGGAAATTAGACAAAAAATCATGTCACGGAGCTTCTCCTATGATTTGAAAAACGTGATAACCAATTGACATTTTTCCCAAGTTCAAGAGAGAATCAGTGAAAAAGAAGTCTTTTGAGTGACGAAAGAGAGCATAATACTATAAGAAGGAAAACATTGGATACGATATGACTTTATTATTAAATTTAATTGTATTGTTTGCAGTGCTGTATAGGAAAAAAGGAAACATTAAATTATTTGACATGATTGTAAATATCTTATTTGTATTGTATGTAATTAAAAAAAAGGAAAAAAAGTCGAGATGAAAAGATAAACTGTTTTGTATACAAAAAATGAATATATTTATATATTGTTGCAAAATTGAAACGAAAACCCACAGACATAATAAAATTAGGACAAGTCATGAACTATGAAGAAAAAAAAATTGAGAAAATATTGTACAGAGAAATTGAGAAAAAAATAACTTAATCTGATAAACTTTTATGAAAAGCTCTCTGACATTATTTTTAGTGTGTCTGATTGATAAAGAAAAAGTCAAACACGTGTAAAAATTATTTTATATATTTTTTAAAAGAAGCATAAAATGAACTATTTTGGTAAATAATAAACTCCTGAAATGACTGTGTATAGAAGAAATTGTATTTAAGATGGAAAACCCTATCAGATCCGGATAAAAAGCACAGAACGATTATGATGAAAAAAAAACGACAAAAATTTAACTTCGAAGCGACAATGGATGATGATAACAGCCAGTAAGGAAAAAAATGGTGTGAAGCGAATTAAATGGAATGGAGAAGAACTTTTCTTGGGGGTAATAATGACAGATATTTACGATGTAATTTGTTTAAAGTAATCACGATTATAAAGAATATAAATATATATACCTAAACAGAATATGAATATTACGTGAATATATTAAAGAGTAAAATGTATTTAAAAATGAAAGAAAAAAAATTGAGTAAAAATGATCATAATATTAAAAAAAAAGAAGAAAAAATACACACACATAAAAACATAGACATGAAAAAAACAGTTTGTAATCCTTGCATTGTAATAAATAAAATATGAGAAAAATTATACATATATACTATTTTAGTGTTTAGCACGTTTATATATTACTATGAATGAAAAATGAAAACAGAAGTAAATACTGCAACATTGAATAAACATTTCTGTAATAATTATAAATGCATTCTTTCAATTTTTTCTCCTCTACTCACTTTCTAACCACCAGAAATCTACATAAATCAGGTTCAAAATTCCTCAGATTTCACTGCCACCCATTCTCTCTATCGCAATGAAAGAATCTCAGGATTTTACGGTGCGAAAGGCATGAAAGTCCGTAAGAGGAATTCCTAAAGTGAGCCTTATGTAAAGTCTATGACGTTATAGTAAATGAGAGCTCAGAGACAAGAGCAATTTTCCCAATAGAGAGTGCGGCGATTGCCCCACATATATATATGATAGATGACAAATTTCCCTCCCAATCTCGGTATTCATGGTTTTTCTAATTTTCACTCATCATGCATTGGGTTCTGTATGAGACTACGATGCCTCAATGCCTGTTTATATACGGTTGTGCGGGTTGTGCGTCAATGTGTAGCGCAAGGTGGTTGGAGGGAAACGGAGAAAAGTAATAATTTTTCCCACGAGTGACACAATCTCCCTCTTTTTAATTAACCCAAGCTTTGAGTGCCACCCCAAGAGACGACTTCAGTGGAAAAGAAGTAAATTGCCGTGAAAGAGTCTCATGCGGAGGATGGAAGACTGGCCGTGGCGAAAGATTACATCGCAAAGCGTAAATAATTGCACACACATATTTATGACTATGAGTTGTGTCTTCGCTAGATTGAAATGCGCCCGAATGCAGGCAAAATCACCCTCGAGGAGATGATAGCATCCCATGATCACCTCTCTGGCAATTTTAGAGACTTTATCAGGCCAATATGCGCCGTCTCTTTCACTCCTACAATTCTCAAGTTTGGCGCGATTGATAAAATCAACAGCTGAGCAATTCGGCTCTCGAGCCTTCGGCTGATCAATCGCCAAGAAGCTCAGCCGAGCCAGTCTCCGTCCAATCTCTGCCGAGGCAACGTCTTGATGCTTCTTCTTGAGCAACTCTGAGAGGTGAAACTTGTGGAATTTTTCCGTGTGATCGTCAAAAGCAATGGCAGAAGAATGGGCATTTCTCGAGAGAGTGCATCGACTCCTGTGCGAGGAACAGGTCCTTCCCACGCCACCCGAAGCCTCCGTCGTGGACTTTCACTATCCTCACGATCTGGCGGTGAGTCTCTTTGGGATTTTTCCCACAAAACTCATTCCCACTGCATTATCATGAAATCCCCTTCTTCGAAAGGAGAAAGATAATAACTCTGGCCCTTCTATTTGCAGAAAATCATCGACGTGTCTCTGGACACTGAAGTGCCACGCACTTTGGACGAGGCGGAGGAAATGTGCCGCCTCGTGTTAAAGTACTCAGTCAAGACGGGTCATCGATTCTTCTGCAATCAACTCTTTGGCGGCTGCGATCCCTTCGGCCTGGCCGGCTCTTGGATCACCGATGCACTCAATACTAGCCAGTGAGTATAGATTTTTTTTACCTCATTCCATCTATATCTCAACAAGAGTAATTACTGATTAAACTTACGCCTCAATTGTCTCTGATAAACACTCAATTGGTTGAAATACTCTCGCTCTCCACTCATAAATCAACTGCCTATTTACTTTATTAATTAATTATTAATTATACCGAGGAGGAAACACACGGAGATAAGTGAGAAATACAGATTACACTCATAGGGAAAAAATATTTCAGCACATTTTGCGAGTCTTATCTCTATGTTTCTGTAAATCATCAGAGGAATGAGGGAAGTGCATGCTATGAGCATGATTAAATCTATGCAATCGTAGTTGAAATCTCCAGTGACGTGAATTCAAGCTGTAATTTGAGCATTTAAGACAAACATTTGAATAGCTTCGTGCAATCTATCACAAATCTGACTCGGTTAAACTAATAATCTGTCTAATTGTGTAAGAAATGAAATTTTGGTGAGAAAATGCATATTTTTTGTATATTTGTTAATTTTTTATAGATACACTTTCGAAGTTGGTCCTGTATTCACCCTAATAGAAGACTCCGTGGTTCGGAAGTGCCTGGATCTCTTCAATTTTCCCAGTGGTGATGGAATCTTTAGTCCCGGCGGATCCATGTCCAACATGTATGCGATGATCCTGGCCCGTTTTCGGCTGGATCCGCGCTACAAATCCGCCGGAATGTTCGAATCCAAGCCTCTGGTGGCCTTCACGTCTCAAGATGCACACTACAGCATCAAGAAAGCTGCACATTGGATGGGCATCGGACTGGACAATCTGGAGACCGTGGCCACAGATGATCGCGGGCGAATGCGGCCGGACGCTCTGAAGGAGGCCATTGAACGAGTCAAAAGTGGAGGTCGTCGACCGTTCTTCGTGAATGCAACGGCGGGAACAACCGTGCTCGGGGCCTTTGATGATCTCGAGAAATTGGCGGATGTTTGTGAGGAGGCTGGAATTTGGCTGCATGTGGACGCATGCCTTGGGGGCTCTGCTATTCTCTCGCAACGGTACAAGGGACTTCTCGCGGGATCAGGAAGGGTAGACTCTCTGTCGTGGAATCCTCACAAGACTCTCGGAGCGCCTCTTCAGTGCTCAATTTTGTTGGCTCGCGAAAAGGTGAGAGGAAGTAGTGTATTTTTTCCACTTGTTTCTTATCACTTTTCATAAATGCCGAATACGTGATTTTTTACTCACTTACACTCCCATTCAATTCTCTGATACGTCCGTTGAACTCATGCGGCAATACAAAATCTAATCTCTAGAGAGTTCATCCTTATCTGTATCTTTTTTGCGGATTTCCTGAATGTTTAAAGAAATCAGGGGGAGAAATCATATTCGCAAAGTCACAATTTCTCTTCAATTTTCAGAATATGCTGCACAAGTGCAACTGTGCCAATGCAGACTATCTCTTCCAGCAGGATAAGTTCTACGACATCTCCTTTGACACAGGCGACAAAAGCTTTCAATGTGGCAGAAAGGTGCGGATTCCGTCGAGTGAGAATTGTTCAAGTTTGTAATACTCGATTTTTCATTGAAGGTGGACGCCTTTAAGCTGTGGCTGATGATGAAGGTTCGTGGCATTGAAGGTTTGGGAGAGAAAATGGATAACGCCATGGAGATGAGTCAGTATCTGACGGACCAATTGAGATCTAGGCCTGGATTTCGCTTGGTCCTGGATGAATTTCAGTACACAAACATCTGCTTCTGGTATATTCCTAAGAAGATGCGAGATCAGGAGGAGACACAGGATTGGTGGAAAAATCTCTATAAGGCAATTACAGTCTGTAAGTTTATCTCTATGAGTGGCTCTAAAGATTGTTTCCTCACAGGTCGCGCCATTGATTAAGGAGAAAATGGTCAAAGCTGGCTCCATGATGGTGGGATTCACTCCGCTGCTGCATAAGGGCATTGGGAACTTCTTTCGGATGGTTATCACTTGTCAGCCATCCTTTTCCCGCAACGACATTGACCAATTCATCATCCAGATAGAGCAGTTCGGCAATAGCCTCGCATTCCCGTGAAGCCCTCCCAGCGTGCGACAATCAGTATTGTGTCTTGAAAGGGTCACAAAATTGCCAAACCTTATCTGCCATACATTCTTATCATTCTCCTAACATGTCATCCCACTATAGGCAGATTGACTATTCCTCAGCTCCTAGTGAGCAGTGGAATGTGGAGATATTTCATAAGATATACCCGTAAATACTTTAAATAAAATAAGAGATCATGGAATTTTATTACCGACAGTATTCGGAATAAAAGTTTTTAAATATCTGGAGAAATAAAGCATGATTTTTCACGAAAAGGAATTTACGAGGAAATTCTAAATATGATTGTAATTTACTCACATCGTAAGACCTCTTGAGATTTGATAACTTTCAGACAAAATTGATTTACACTTCTTGTCATGATCGCGGTTGATAAGAGGGCTTCTGCCGAGACTTCTGAATTTATAGCTGCTCATTAATCAGCACTGAAGTACCCACAATATGAGTGAATTGACACTAATTGGATTTACAAAAGAAAATTTTATTTGAGCTCCGTATAAATTTCGATTATAGATTAACTTGAATTATTCACATTTTTGTCTTTCACTGTAAGTTTCTTAATAAACTAAAATAGACAAAATTGTTATTGCAATTTAGGATTCACTGTTAAGTAGCCTAAAATCCTTTACACGTTCCTTTTACATCAAATTACGTCCTTATGAGCTACCATTTCACACTATAAAGTATGGAATAAATCTAGAAATCACTCAATATGAGCTACTGATTCATGTTACAATGAATTAATATTCAAATCTAGCAAATAAAATTATACGAAAAATCTTGCATTACAAAAGAGTCTATGCTAACCTTGCTAAATGGCACATTTAATAACCTTAGCAGTTGCTGATAAGCTACACAACACAATGCTGATTTTTGGTTATTTTGTAAATTGAAGCTTTTAAAATTACTTAAAAGGATTATCATTTTAAGGAATCATTCCAACCACTTAGCGAAATTATATTAGCTACAAATCAGACTTTCTTTAACGGAATAGACATCCTAATAAAATGCAAATCTTGTATAATTTTTTATGGAATTTCTCACCTAAAAAATCTAAAACCTAACATCACAATAGACATTAGTATTTAAATCTATGTATATGATTTTGAAGTAGTTTAGCAGTAACTGGCTTGGCAGCGATTTGATTATATGGGAAAAAATTAAGTCACGATTTTTAAAATTATACAGGTCGTTGAAGTTTTAACTGTTAATCGTGTAACATAATTTGGCACTCATTCACATGTGAAATTTGTAGTAATATTACAAAAGAGAGATGACGTTTCTCTGTCTATATAGTGAAAAGATGAGTTCTACAATCTAAACTTTTCTCTTACAATTATCCTATCAGTTTGGGCAACACTTGCCTCAGATATTGCAGTAATTTTGAAGAATGTGCTATGACGATAAATGCTCTCTTCGATGATGCATAAATTTGTACTTTCTCATGCGACAATGCGTTATGTTCAAATGATTTTCTACAAAGCTGGTTGGCATGGCCAGCAAATTGACTCAGAACTTCTCCTCGTCATTGATGGATCTCGTTGGGGGTCTGACGTTGTTGAGTGAATGGGAATTCCTTTTGATTGTGGCTGTGTCTGGTTCGAACGATTTCGAGAGCACTTTGGGTGTGTGATTACCCATCATGTTATTGGACTTTGTCAGTGTCCCATGTCCATTGGGGATGTTCTTGGAACTGCTCGAGCCATGGGAATTGAAGGACGACTGCCTCTTAGGCTTCTGCCTGGGTTCAGGGTACTGTAAAACAATAAATACACACGTGAGAAATGATGTTCGACGTGAATCCCTAATGCGCTCCATTTTCTTTCTACTCACATCCTTCGTGGGGAGGCTGGAATATTGATTGGGGTATGTGTCGTAGCACGGTGACCCGGGAATGTTTTTGATGCCCAGCGGAGGCTTTCTCGTGTACCTGGCGCGAGTCACGAAGAATGTTAGTGAGCAGAAGAGCAAAATCGTGGGGATGAGGATGATGAAAAGGCTTGTCATGCCAATAGAGGCAGTGTCTGTGTTGGCAGCCGCTGGCGGAGCACAGGGCCGGACGTCCCTCTCCTCGCCCTGGCACTCCTTCGAAGTGGGATTTGTGGTGAGACACTTCCGAGTTCGAATTCTTTCGCCATCGGGATTGCACTCGTTCCATTCGCTCCACTGACTCCATCCCAGGAATGCTGAAAGTGCACAAGGAATCTCATGAAATATCTGAGAGTGCAAATTTCTATGAGTCGATGTAATAGAAGGTTCATAAATTTGAATTTCAATCACTTCCAATGTTAAGAAGTTTGAAAAAATACAGCGAATCTCACCCGTAAATATTCATATAAAAAGTGACCGTTTAAATGATTTAAGTATAGAGAAGAAACATTATGGGAAAACCGGATATGGAGGAGGTAAACCCCTTTTTTCAGGAAATACGGCGCTGCATAGAAAACACTCACTGTCACAGCTTGGCATTTCGCAAATCTCTTGTTGAATGCCGGATCCATCGCAATCGCTGCCATCGCTGGAATCTGTCGCTGAAAGGCACTGGCGAGTTCGGGTACGTTTTCCAATGCCACAGGATACAGAGCACGGTGACCAATCGCCCCAGCATCCCCATTGGCCTGAAAAATTCATTTCGCATCAATCCATGAGAGTCGGAAGTCAAAGTGGATTCGAGTGCACGTTCTCACCTCTGCACGCCTGAGTGGCACATGCTCTTGCCATCTTGCCAGTGCCGTCGCATTCCCCGTTGCCCCTGTCGCACTGTCGGATCCGGAACTGCTGCCCTCCACCGCACGAGACGCTGCACGGTCCCCACGGACCCCATTCTCCCCATCCGGCGTCGGAGTTGTCGCCGTTTCTGCCGAGAGAAAAATCGCACAGTGAAAGCATATTTGGGATGTTGTCATGATAAAATCTGGGCACTCTTCGCAAAATCGATTTACAATAAAAGGCCATCGGAATGCTAAATTGGCGGTATTGGTGAATTTTTGTGCGGTGAAAAACCCGATAAGACTTCAATTAAGGCAATTGAGAGCGGCACTGATAAAGTGTGAATTAATTTCTGTTGAATTTCCTTATCAGCCGAAGCTCTTACCTCTGGCATGTACCATCTGGCTGGCAAATCCTCGTCTCCTCCTTGGCCAGGGCGATCCTCAGCGTTGACGAGTCAGCCACTGAGGCTTTGCATAGATAGCGGAAGCGCCGTTCTGTGTGGCCGCCGTCACCTGTTGTACCATTCAACTCCATTAACCACGGCGTCCAAGAGCTGAGGCGCTTTACCTCAGCGCAAGGTTGACTGTTACAGATCTCGTAATCAATACTGCACCCGGGACAGTCTATGCCGCCGTTCTGCGGTGTGGGATTGTCGCATTTTCTGCGACGAATTCTGAAGCCGCCTCCACATGGTGAACTGCAGTCCCCAAAGGCACCTGTACGGTGTGAAAATTAAACAAGAGGCATTGTGAAAGGAGGTCAAGAACTCCAGGGAAATACAGAGATTTTGCAGGTGGAGAAATTTTTTAATGAGCTCCCTATCATAGGACAACCATCTCAGTTGCTCCACTTTAGGGTAAAAAGAGAGATTGCTTAACGTTAAGCAATGTGAATTTCATTTCCAATTGATCACGAGAGGTTTATGGTCTTATCGCTCTTATCTAGTGAACAATTGATTAAAGCAATTACCCCAAGGTCCCCAGCCTCCGTCGATGGCGGGTTGCTTAGGTGCTGGACACGGAGGCAGCATCGTGCAGTAGATCTAAGATGAGATAAAGAGAAATTACGGTGAATTGCGAGTGCATGAAGTTGCATCTTTGACTCTTACCTCAGAACGATCAGGTCCCACACACACTCTGCCGCCATTAGCTGGCTTGGGATTGGAGCATGTGCGTCTTCTAGTCTTTACAGCCACACCGCAGGATTGGGAGCACTGTGAGTAAGGACTCCACTCGGTCCAGCCGCCGTGAACCGTGCAGTTTGTCACTTCAATGGGCATTCCTGTGCACTTTTCACCGCCATTCTTTGGCGCTGGATTATCGCACGAGCGGCTACGGCAGAGACAAGTGTCGGTGTTTGAAGTGTGCTCAGACACCAAACCTCCAGATGACTGGGCACACTTAAACCAGTCTGACCAGGCGGACCAACTCCCATCCACCGGAGCCGTGAGCACCGGACACTCTGTGGCATTCTGCACCCAATATCTGGCCAAAGTGTCTCCACTCGGCGGTCCAGTGCACATCTCGAGCATTTCATTCCAACCACAGTAGGGATCCATGGCGTTCAGACAGCTGGCCTTAGACACATGACGATTACAGTGATAAGCTGATATCTTCATTAGAGCCCGATCTGTGCCGATGTACAGCGCCTCTGTTTCCTTAAGAAACTGAATAGTTCGGATTCGTGTGTTGGGACTGGCCTCAGGATGCCAAATCTCCACCACACACGTGTCCTTCGTCCGCGGTAGCACAGAAATCTTCTTCACTTGCCCCTCCTCAGTCGCAACGTAGATCACCCTCACGCTCTCATGCAATTTCGTGGAAATCATATCCAAGGCAATATGAGTGAATCGCTCGAGACGAGAATAGTGAAGGGGCTGCAGAGTTGTTGCCTGAACAGCTTGATCCATCAATTGATAGCGTGAAGAATCGAGAAGTTGGTGTCTCTGGGCTGTTTTTCCGCGACCCATTTTGCATTCATAGTGATCTCGGTGTGGCGAATCTTGCCTCTCCCAGGCAGATCCCACAGACTCTTGCACCTTGAACGGACCCGAAAAGGCAGCATGAATGGCTGACATGTTGAAGGCACAAATTGCAGATCCGTGAATACTATTACTGAAATATATACGGAAAAAATTAAATTAATTATAGCATATTTGCATGATGGCTGGAAATATATTCAGTTTTTTTTTAGTTTTATTTCAGTATATTCTTCACGATTATATGTATTTTACTTACATCGGCGTTGTGAATGTAGCATAAAGCACTCCCTCCTCATGTGAGTAGGAAACACCCTGAACCTCGTCGAAGTAGAAGGGATATTCCCCGGGCAGAGAGCAGTTCAGTCTGGCTTTGAGAAATGATATCCAATTGTCCTTCAGGATGTGACTGCCGCCAGGATCATTTTTGCATACTCTGGCAATGCGAGAGTAGACCACTTTACCACAATTTATGTACTCCACCGCCGTCTCCCGGAAAATGAAGTAGACAAAGTCTCCCGCCTCGAAGCTGCCGACGAATTGTGGGTCGTTGAGCCACTTGGAGTTGTACTGATTCGTCCTCAGCATACGCGAGTTGTCCTGTGCCACGTCCGCCCGCAGGATGGCTGGATCCGAGCCAGAAAAATCCGTGGGGGAGCCAACAAAAATCTGCCCATTGTCGGTCATGAGGGCGGTGATGTTGGCATGAGGATTGAAAGGACACTTTGCTACACCCTTGTCATAATTCAGCACCGTCAGATTCTCCATCTGCCCAGGAAAATGTGCGTCATTAATACACCCGTCGGTGAGGTAGGGTTCAAAGTTACAAATTAACACCTCACCTGACGCCACGAGCAAAAAGGACTGAAGCCGTACGTTCCGCACGCATATAGACGATTACCATAGTTCTGTAGCACCATAATATAGTTGTGGCAGTCGGTTTCACTTTGACCCTTGTTCTGGCATGTCTCCTGGATCGATGTGGAAGCCTCCCAGGGCATCCTCTCACGAACTTCGAGGCCAAACGACAGGCGATATAGTGTGTCCCTGCGGAGAGTGGTAATAATGGATTAGGCTCGGATTCCTTCATGGACTTGCTTGAAAAATTGTCTCAGAGATTTAGGTATAAATCTTCCTTAGGCCAGTACACGACAGATATTTTAGTATTCCACTGAGAAGTTCACAATTATAATTTAATTAAACTCTCCCTCTCTCTCTCTCTCTCTCTCTCTCTTCATCTCTGGCGCAACGACATGTCCTCGGGACATTGTTTGTGAATTTTAATGAAAAGTCCACGGTATGTTTTCCTACATCGCCCCAGTTGTTATTCCACAGAGAAATTCCTGTGACTTTGGTGGTCATTTGTCGAATGGCGTGGTATCTATCATAAGAGGTATAATTCAGTGAGTGGGTAGATGAGATTATTATGATGAAAAAAGACCTATCAGACTTTTATTTTTCCGCCTAAGTGACTAAAACCAACAAATTACATCATAGTGCGGGGTAGGATGGATATTTCTTCACAAATAACATATCTCCTGTATCATGTTCCACTGGACAGCAGAGAAAAGTATTTTGATACTCTTTTTACAATATAGCGCCAAATTGCACAATAAGACGCTTTTTGCATTACTTCGGCTCTTTCAGCGCCTCGAATGCGACATCTTAATTTCCTTAAAAGTACATTAATGGTGGTTTTTATATTGGAAGATGGAAGCTATTAAAATGAAATTTATACTATATTTAAAATAATCACACGCACGCCATCGAGTAGTATAAAAAATGCCCAAGCACTTTCAGCCTCGTCGATTTAATATAATAATATGTCGATGAGCAACATAAAAATGACCATTAAAATTTCTCGTGGTCTCGCATTCGCGTTGCATAAGAAGTCACTTTGAACTTGGATCTGATGGTGTGAAAAAAGTGTGCAAAATGGATTATCGCGGTGAAACTTTGAATTTGCGTCTCGCTTCACCACTTTCAGGTATGCCTTAATTCCTTTTCACCTTTCATTTCAGGTCGCGAGTGTGAAGAAAACCGCTTTTCTTTTGCCGCTACATGCACACCTTCACCACGATGGGGCATGGCGAAAGAGTCGAGCAGGAGATCATTAAGAGATGTTCCCTGAAAGAATTTAAATTCTTTTCCTCCTCTTTCGCCTTCTCAGAAGTCTGTTTGCGCACTGGACAGGTTGCTTTCGACCTTGAGCATTCACCAAATTTGATTTTAATTGGCAATCTCCTACTTAAGAAAGGTGTGTCATTATGATCTAACCTTAATCAGCGATATGTTGAGTGTATCGTTTAAAATATCTCACTCCTACATTAAATTCGTCGAAACCCTACGTCTGTCATTCCTAAAGCTCATATAATTGTGCAATCAAGTAATCACTGTACAAAAATACATTGCGGAGAGTCTCTGGGAATGGCTTGTAGATGAGCTACGTATAATAAAATGATTATATGGATTCTCGTGTCCCATTTGTTCATATTTAATTTTCCCACAAGACACCATTTTACCACCAGAATTACCCGAGAATGGATTTTTAATGAAAATTACTACCTCGCCTCTCAGCCACACTCTACCCAATATAACCATGTGATAAAAAGGATTTCAAATTAAATATCGATGTTTTATATCCGATTAATGTTTATAGCACAAATAATGGAGAAACTTCACATTTTATAATGAGGAGGAGGTGAAATTGCTAGTTTTCCCAGTTCACTAACCACATTCAGTTCACAATTATTGTGCCTTATATTTGCTCAACCTACGTCATGACAGAGAGTGAGGGGGTCATATGGAGAATCTCGCACCAGGCTCATGGGCACAGAGTGTGGTGAGGAACAATAAACCGTTGGAGTGCAGTTTTTAATCGCCTCACTCTGATTATATTTGCTTATTACACTTGAAACGATGCTTCGTTACGCGTTTTATTGTACATTCGAAGTCGGTCGGGACAGAGAAGATTTCAAGACACGAAGGAGGGAATCGAAAGAGAAAAAGGAAAATAAAGTCATTTGATACAAACTCAGAATAAGTATAACCAATTGACCGGTAAAAAGAGCCGAGGAGTCTTGCTGAGCTTATTGGATAGGAGGATTTTTGTGGTGAATTCTTAGAATATCAGTTGAATAATTTTTGAAAATATTTCACTTTAATTCTTTATTATAAATTGGCACTTACAATGCATTTATGTTGGTACATAAAATTTTGGACTGTATTATATTTAATTCCTATTGCTTCTATTGTGTGTCTCACACATTCACAGTATCTGTGCTTTCTGCGAGTCTCTTCGTTTCAAAGTTGAAAAATAAAGCAAGAGAACATCTTATATTGAAGGGGATGGTAGTGTTGGGGAATATCGGAAAGTCATTCTTGGAAGACTGTTAATTTCTGGTGAGCAAATAAATTCTCACAGCTGCTAATCATAATTGATTTTTTTCTTGAGCCTCTTCCAAACTTAATGGCTGCCTTTATGGTGGTGGGGAAGAGCTGTGAAGTTTCAGGTGAATTTGCCAAATTCATGGACCATAAAGTAATAAAAAGGTGCCTTTTCTGTGCCAATCTCACAAATTATCCTCAGATGGCTTCATTGCTCTTTGCCATTATTCATCACCTCGTTTCACGACCCGGGCAAATGGTTTCTTCTTTGACTCCACGAAGGAAAAGGGGTATTAGATAAAATGCCGTGACTTTAGAGCGAGGGCGAAAGAGAGAGAAAGAGAGCTTTCCTTTTAATCACAGGTTAAATTTTGACGTGAGATCTCTCATGTGATGAGAATTGTGACTTTCACCATGTGTAAAAACAAACAGTGTTATAGTGATATGATGGGCACAGAGTATAAACAATGAAAAGGGGCATAGTGAGAAAAATGAGGAAAATTGTATGGTATATTCTTTGTCACGCCCCACAACGAAATTGTTGAGACAAAGAACACGAAAATTTATTCTCCCCGTGTTCTTCAAGCTCTTTAAAATCCATTCAGCTGCATAGATTTTGATTTAGTCCCGCTCTCTAAAATGTAAATGCACTCACAACACAATCAACACACCACAATTTACACACTTCAATTTCTTTTTTCGCTGCTATATTTATTTATGGACACACATCACATTTACCATCAAGGTAAGAAGTGTGTGCGACCACAATAAAATATGCTTTAGTTGCGAGAGAGACAAAAAAGGAGGAAGATAAAATTGTGCATTTTATATGACATGAGCGATGGTGCGATGCTTCGACGAAAAAGTGTCTTGCCAGGGAAGATCAGAGGGGGAGGTGCCGTATGATACATAAAACTGCGATCCGAGGAACTATATAGTGTATGTCAACATAAACACCCACATTTTAACAAAACCATAGCATTTATTTCACCTTCGTATGAAGTCTGCCATGGAGGAGATTACGGCGGTGTTCTTAGTATTGTCGAACAACAGCACTAGTGCTCGCCGTGACATAGAAATTTAAAGTCAATCGATTCCGATTGCGGAGGATTTACTTCTCTTGTGCACACACAACATAAATTTCAATTGGATCAACACTAAATATTTTAATCACCACAAATATGGAATGTGGAACAAGTGGATAGTGAAAAAATATACATTATATTGCACTATGATTTCTGCTAGTGCGGCAGGAATTGACATGATCGAAGGCACTCTGGCTGTCTTCAGACAGCCCGACAGAGAGCTCATAGCATATGTAATTACAGAACTTGATTGCAATTAAGTGAGATATTGTACAAGTGAACAATATTCTCAGCGGCAATCAATAAATTCCATTTGATGCGAGTGAAAATTAGACTTCGATTCAATTGCTGAACCTAAATTTATGGCAATTATTGGCCAAAATTAGAAGATAGTTTACCTGATACTGCTATTAAATTCGCTCTGAATTTCTCAAGATCAGCGCTTATGCTGCAGTAATTACAATTCAATTAGCCTCATCAGTCTATTAAAATGAACAAGACATTAACCATTCAATCTTGGCCGATGATAATCTACTTTTATGACTGTATATGCGGGATTATTTTGTTTACTATCTTCTTTATTCGGCAAATATTGATAAGAAATGATGTAAATTGGGTCAAATCAAGTCAAATAATGATAATGATAGACATGAGTTCTTCAATTTTGCTTCTTCAGGTATTTCTGTATGTTTGTCCTACTTCACTATCAAAACAGGTGAATCTAAAAAAAACGCTTCTAAATCCCTATACTGCTGATCCTAAAGCCTTTCGTAAAACTAAGCGTTACGCCCAAGCTTAAGGCGAGATATCAGAAGTTGAAACAAATAGTTTTATCTCAAAACACATTCTGGGAAATGATTGCATAAATTCCACATGGTTATTGATCGAGTCCGAGAGATATTTAAATATTCACTGTATTAATCAGTGGGCATGGAAATTTGTCTTTTGGATTGCACAAAGAAGTGGCGCCAAAATAAATTAGAGGCAAAGTGTCAATATTCGTATTGTTAGTCCCACAAATCCTTACGAAATTCCATCCACGCCACAAAGTACAGAGATTGGCAAGTGAATAACTTCTCCCATACGCAATCAAAATGCCCAGACTCCTCGCATAATGCAAATATGTGACCATAGATTTTGATGGAATCTCACACTTTGGAGTTATTATTTACATAGCCGTTCGTGCGACGTCTTATTCGCCACATAGTGTATGTGTGATGAGTAAATTACATGGGAGTTGAATAAAACATGGTGCCGAGTTGGGAAAGACACTCTCATTACACACATTTTCCTCAACATATATGAAATATCGCAGCTTTCCACCAGATAAAAATGCATCTCGCGGACTTTTATGGGGGACTTGTGGTGCACGAATGCCAACTAATGAAGGAATAAACATTAACCAATCTCTCTCTGCACGATTGTGAGTTCAGGTGCATAAAGGAATGATGGATCTGGTGGATGTTGCAGGAAAAACACATGGAAATTCATCAGAATCTCCTGGCATTGCTCACAATCTTGCCACGATCGTAAAATGGCAATGAAGAATTGATTATTAGCTACTCGGTGACCAAT